CTGAGTGTTTTGGTGTGCAAAGGGGACTTCAGTCGAGGAAAATGCGTTGGTAAGAAAGAGACTTCGAGTAGTCTGTGCATGTCGGTGTGATCCAGATCCAATGTGGATCTGGAAATATTGAAAATAAATTTGGGATGAACTAGATGACGTCCAGCACTGACTATCCGAATCGATCCCCCAATTCATCTACTCAAACACGGTAAGTAGTTCATAGTGATTCAGTTGATATTTCTATACTTAGGACTTATCTTTTTAACAGAAGAATTAATCTTCATCGAGTGTTAAGGCTACCTTACACAAAAGTAAAGTTTCCTAGAGAAAGATTTCCTAAACATTTTCAACTGAATACCACCAGGCAGCCCATCCTCTAGTTTGGCGGCGTCCACACCAATCCCCATATGCATACCTGATCTGTGATTCTACAGTGAGAACCGCAGTTTATTTGTTAAGTCTAATCGGGAAAGCTCATTCGGTGCATTTCGACTTGAACAACGGGTCCGTAGATTTTCAGCGGGAACGTCCCGTTGGCTGATGAGTGGGTGGGCCGTCCCTTTCGACGCTTTCATTGCGTATGCAACAATACAGCATATACCAAGAGCACAGGGATTTCCTCTATCATATGCATGGTATGTGGGCAGATTGTCATGTAGCTATTACGCGTGTAAGACCGTAGTTCGGATCTAAAGTAAACATTCGATCTGAGTGGGTCTATGCGTTATAAGGGTAATTGTTATCGATCGATTTTCTAGGCAGTATTTGCCCAAATCCCTTTCTCTGAGGTCACTTACATTAAACTTTGTCGAGGTTGGTGTTATATTTGACATCCATATTGGATATCCAACGGAGTTGGATAATCCCGCGGAAAAAATGATGATAACCTCCTCCATATAAAAATGAAGACTGGATTGGATTATCCCGAAATACCCCGGGCATTTGCATGTCCAAACACCACGGTTACGCCAATTTGGTATTCAGTGTTTGACTCTAATTCCGAACGGACTCCCCTCAGATGCAGTCAAAAAGGAAGTTGATAGCCATTTTGAAGCCGATTCATCCTCGCTGAATATCCTGAGTGGAGCGCGTCTAATGAAACTCTAGGTTGGTTCGAACCGCACTCGTGACGGACCGGCTAGCAGTTTCGGCAGTTGAACGTTGAGTCTCGAACTGCTGGAAAGCAGTGGGATTAGATAGCACTAAGCATGAACATAGCACCGCTCATCCGTCAAAAACGGAAGCCCACGTTACGTGGTCACAATATGATTGGCTACTCGAGCGACTGCATCCCAGATAGAACCTTCGCGATTCAATGAATTTATCCATCCTGTGGCCTGTCAATTTAGGCGGAATGATCGGCAGCAGTTTCATGTTGGTCGGGAATCATTGGCAATGCGTTGCGTACTTCACCGAAAGAAATCTTCCGTTTAATGTTGCACAATACTGCGACCAACGTCGCATCTTCGGCGACAAAATCTATCGAAAAAGGGACGTTATTTCGACAAGATGTACTAAATGTGCAACTTTGTAGTTATATTCCTGTGTGAGGTAGCTAACTACAGATAGAATATTTCATAGACTAGTCTCATTTGCAAACGAATTCCGTCTTGACTGGACAAAATTGAACCTCCCGTTAATATGGACGGCTTCAACGAAATGTGTTGAATAAAAAGTTGACGTGAACTCAAAGAATGCTCCCAAATAATAAACCGCAAGAATTGCGGAGGATGTTGTGCTCTATCCAAGAGCTTTGAGCAACTTTATGAATAAACAACCGTGTACTGAATTATGAGGCGGCCCCGAATAGCATATTCAGTCGAAACGAACCACTACAAACGAGCGATTCACCTGAATTCATCTGAGCCTTGTGCGAAAACCGAATTCATGTGCAAATCTACTGAGTCTGACAAAGTTAGGATTTTGCGGACTGAGATTGAACCATGATAAAACCGGGAGTAGACTGTTGAAGGGTTCTCAGCAACCTTAGGAGCAGTGTGTCACGTCTATATAAACACATTTAAATCGCGCCCTTCACAGCGCCTAGCTACCTGCCGGTGATGCATCAAAAAGTATTTCGCTAGCTTAAACGTCAACATGAAGTTGGCCGAGGTGATGAACTTCTGGCTCATTGCATTCGAATTGACTCAACGTCTAGCACTTGACGATACTGCGACATGTAAAGCGGACCATCTGGAATGGCTATTTTATTGCTTATGTTCCAGTGAAACGAAAATAGCCCGCAGGTTAATAACCAAATGGGAAAACTCCGAATGAATGTCTTCGCAAATGTGTTGTACTATAAAAATGAAAATAGTTACACAGAATACAAAATTACAAACCTCGACGGTTTTCGACAAACGTTGACGTACCCCTGATGGGAAGAAAAGCCAATACGGATCACAGTCAACGCGTGATAGAAATCTGTAAACTCATGCATTAAAATAAATTTACAGTTAGCCAAGTTCTCGGTACAAAAATAGTAAAACCGAGGCGGTAAAAACGATCTGCGCGGTAAGGAAAACGGAAAATATAAATGTCCTGTGAAACTTAAAATAGTATTCAACTACAACGGTCCAAAAATGCGGCGGTCAATTTGAAAACTTGACCGGGAAAGCAGTCACTCAAGATGTGAGGCAATTTTAAATATATACGAAGTTGCAACAAGCGGTGTTGTTTATTAGAAGAAAACTCCAACTGAACGATTAAAGACTATGGGGCAAGAAGTTAAATCTACAGGTAGCTGGTGTTTGAAAATATGGACATCTCTCTTCTTTTTGGACGCGACCTCTCGAACTTGCCTAAATATCCACTGACTCCACAAAATCATTAAAAAAGCATCTTCCATTAGATCAAAGTGGAGTTACAAGAAAAGCACACACTATTTGCATTCCCTCAATAGATGTGTCTATGGTTGCACACTTCTTCCCTTAAAGCTCGATTTTATATCACCGCTTTCGATTCACCTTCGTTAGGATAGTCACAGTTGCTGATCTTCTCGGCAGCTCCTTTGGTGTATCCTGCCAACTCCAGAGCTGGGTCATATTTACTCCTTCCGTTCCCCGGTCGGCTTGAATTGTTAAGGCGTTCGTCCAGCGGTCGGTACCAACAGACGAACCCTGCCATTGAATGATTATCTCTCGCGATCCCACTAATCTCCTTCCAGAATGACGATGATCCTTCCACTTGCCCCCACGCCTATAAATAATTGTCGTACCTTCCTAATTGCCTTTTTGACTCCACTCCTTTGCCAAACTTTGGTGAAGTTTTCTCGAGCTTTCCTTTCCTTCCCTGTCCTCCCCAAAGACAAGTGTGTTGCGGGTTACGATCCTTTTTCTTGAGTATCCAGAAGTCTGGGAAGTTGACCGTATATCAGCATTAACGGGGTCTTGCCTGAGGTACGCTGCCCGGAAGTACGTTAATTTTTCAACGCCGTCGACGCCAGTCACCTTTCTTGGCCGCCAGCCACCTCCAGGTCGTTCAGCTAATGCGTTCTCTTAGATCATTTTTGTGTAGGTAATAGGGTGCAGTTCTCAGCCGTATGATGCCTAGCTCCCACAAGCAGCTCGTAAAATCATCCCTCTCAATGCGAGACCTCTAATCGGTCAGGATCAGTTTTGGCAACCCGTGGTTGGCCATTGGCTCATGCTCTATGTCTAAGCTGATGCGGTACTTGCGCTGCAACAACATGTCGTTTAGACGCATCGGGTGCATTGTCAGTTTATGAATTTTGTGTCAGAATCCACCTTCTGATCCCACAGCTTGCGCGCACGGGTTGCACTCAGCTTCTTGTCGTCCCTCTCTCTCACGTTTATACCGATAAAGGCCTGTATGGTAGCCTGTGTCAACGCGCTGATCGCAATCCATACGAGATTAGATGAGTAATGCAAGTTTTTTTTATCATATTCAAGTGGTCGGGTTTGAGGTTATTGATTCCTGCAGTAGCGAGGTATGCCACACTTGTAACATCGGTCCGTTTGTCGTGCCTCCGCCACTTTGTGTCGATGACTGCAAGCAAATTGGTCCGCTTTATCGCTCAGGTCCTCCATTGTTGAACCTTCTCTGTTTTCCTGCGACTGCAACCTGTCCAGTGGTGGCTCAACGAAATTCCTGATCGGTTGCAGGTGTTTTACAATCAAACGGTCAGTTGCTCTGCCTACCGCAGAAGGGCACAAAATGCCTGCTGCACCCCTTCAACGAACTGGTCAGACAGCAACTGGTGGCTTCATATTCCTGGCACTGCCCGATCCAGCGAATGCAGCAGGTCTACGGCAAACACCGTCGGATAACACTCAAGTTCTATCCTGGCCGTCGCGAGCCGCCTCATAGCCTTCAAGATGTCGGCCGCTGCGTCGAGCTTCGCTGCGAGAGCTTCTTTTGTGGCAGAAAAGTCCATCTTTTAAGGTCCACGTCTGATCGCATTCATTGAAACTGTCGCATGGCCCCTGGGTAGGATCTACAATGCGGCGAAATTCCCGGTCACTCACCAGTGGAGTCGCCTGTGCATCTTCCCCGAAATTTTCTAGGAAGTTGCGCAGATACCCAAACTTACAAGGCCGTGACTGAGAGATTTACATCCGTATCCTGGTCGCGGTACTAGATGTGCGGAGTAAACATCTTGAACGAATATCCTATCGTGAACGACCAGGTGAATATCTCAGTTTAGTTGCCCTGGGATCAGACGTCATGGTCACGCGGTGGGTGGTAATGTTAATATTATTATTATCATGTAGTGAGGTCAATTCACGATTTGTTTGTATTCCGTGACCCTGGCGAACGCGGACTGACTTGATCGGTATTGTACTCTACAGATTGCTGATGTGAGAAATCTGTAAGTGATTGGGTTAATCTTCTGGCAACAGGAACTTGCAAGGTCGACCAATCCATGGAGTGTCCTCCTTGTTCCGGAAAACCAGGTGTATCTTGATGCTTTTCGCATTCCCCGGATTTGCGAAAGATCAATAACGTAGTTGTTGGTGCGTGCCGTAATCATGTCGCCGAAAAACCAGTCAGAATATGGGGCTATCATCCGATTCTCCCTCTGCCAAGCTCGCCCGCTCGCGGTACATCAAATAAAGAATGGCCGTTAATGAGCCCCGGGATAATTGCAAATTTTGCTGAGGTACTGAAGACTGAGGGAGAAAGCACACGGGAATGCTACATAGACATACCGACGCGCTTGATTCCTTAGGTTCTGGGGTCACTAAAACTCTTGAAACGGTCACTGCTTTCAACCCACCATAACACACAACACAACAGAGGAAAGCGTAAATAGGATCCTGAAGCAAGGTAAGAAAAAGAGGTCATTCGGAGAGGTTAACTGACATCGACCCGACCGGATCTGTAAGTGCCGTCGTTCATATTAACATCTAATTAGTCTCACACGCCATTCATTTCTGACAGCAGATAGTAAGAAGAGATACCTCCACTGCCTATAGTATTCTGATGTAACAGCCTAACTCAGGTTTACACAAGGTCGCTATACAGCTAGTTGCATACTCACAAACCCCCTAGATAACATCAGGTCAAGTTCACATTACTTGTCTAAGAGCGCCTACTGAACCCTTGAAGGCGATAACAAGCTTTTTTCACATTCTACCATTTCCCCCGTCTATGCAACTCCGACTTATTTTCCAAAACTCAGGCTGAACTCGTCCTGGTCCAATTCAGTTTCGTTGGTGTGTTTCAGACCTCCTCCAGTCACGTCTCATCTACTCTGTTTTTCCAACTCTTCTCAAATACCACAGTACATGCCATATGTGTGGTCATTTGTCTTGGGCTGCACTGGTGTCCCTTGTGTCTGCAGGACATTGAGTGGCACGATGCTCTGAGTGCCAGCTAATAATGTTCTTTCATTCTCGCTTGGTGGACTGGGAACTGCTTCACAAGCAGCTCGATTCTCTTTCATGTATCCATAAGTCATTGCGGTTGTTCTTCATGGTTAAGTTGCCATGGTTCCAACAAAAACCACTCGGTAGCCAGATCAAGCAGCGCTCGTCTACCTCTGTAGCAGAAGTATAACCACACATGCCAACGAGCCGCAACCTTGAATGGTAGTACAACTGATCAACAATCAACAAACAACTGAATCAAAGTTGAAAGTCTAATTCGTGATATTCCTTAACCCATGTGCTGTCCAGAACACCTTGATTGGTATGGTGGGTTAAGCATTCGAGATAACAGAGGAGAATTTAACCGAAGAATGCATTCAAAAGGCTGCCGAAAAAGATTGTGAAAACCAGCTACCTATTTTGCTCTCTTTAGGGCTCATCAGGCAGCCACACTCGCCGATTTGCCTCAGATTCGATTTGTATCATGAATGAAATTATCTCTTACCGCATATTCAGGTGAAACATATCATATATGAAGGATTCAGCTGGAATTCAGCTGAGTTGCTCGTTTACGCCAACTAAGTTCGCAAATGAGTGTTACGTGAAGTTTTCATGAGAAATGAAGCTCATGATAAATCAATAGTCGCCATAATTACGCTTCGATACAACAATGTGGTTTGCAGTTAGGCAGTACTTCGTCCAAGAAGCCTATTTCTCACTCTATTGGCCGGAATTTTGGGCAGCTTCCTGATCCAGCATCAAGACGACCTCTGACTGAAACCAATAGACAATCCTGGTTCGGTGTCCATTGAACGCTGATTATCATTGGCGCATCCAGGATGCACAACAATTTCAAGAAGGTAGTCGCCGAATACATTTTCGGGCACAAACACAATCCTGAAACCAACCTCAGAACGCCCAGAACCTACTGCTCCAGCAAAAACTCAACAGAAAGCCCGGCAAGCATCCAAGTCAGTCAATAATTCAATCAATTCAGCAAAACCCGATGAGTGTTCTTGCACACCACAGAAGCCCGACCGAATGTGGTCAGCGTTCAAGTTTTTCTTTGAGGCACGATCGATGTTGCTGTGTGTTCATTACCGCCTATCAAACAGCCTGGATCAATGTCAAAATGTCGTCTTCAATTAGCGTGGAGGCGTTGTAACTTTTGCCTTCGCACTCGCGCACAATGATATAACAGACGCACGCTGTACATATTCGTTAGTACTTTCGACAAAATGCTGTCTTGGAAACTTCGGATCGAGAACTAAATAATGATAACTTCGTTGAGAGTTCGAGGCTTATTGATAGGCCGCAAGCGGAACGTTGAACTCGTTCACCGTTTGCCCGAGATTTCTCTATAACCTTATGACTAATGTAGGTTCATGTAAATTCACCGTTCTTTGGTAGAATAAATCTGATTATTCTACTCTACACGGAGTCATACTAATGCAGCTTGTGCCACATGGTGAATTGATGCAGAACTTCACTCGGTTACTGCGCAAGGGGACACGGAATTAAGTTTCAATGGTAGTCAATTATCACACCGTTGTGGATATCGTCTTACTGGTAATCATGGAATAATTTGCCTTTAAACGGATTCCTGAAATATAAAATTAAAACTGGAAATGGACTTTATTGAGAGATATTTTTTGTAAGTCGATCAAGGGTAGAGAAAGGCGCGTGAATTCCGTTTGTAGTTGGTTCTCGGGCTTGTCCAAATAAAATTCCACGCCGAGTAGTGCGACTCGTGTCACTTTCTCGATTAAGTCTTGACCAACCATTGTTAATACAATATCGATATGGGAAGACTGCAGGGATTCAGGTGAGTTCACAACACAGAATTTTGCAAATTTTGTGTCGATAGGTAGTTACTTTAGGTAAACTTACGGCAGAAATCCAACAGTAGTGTATTTTATGAGCGTGTTTTCACCCAGTGCCCTTGAATGTTATTCGGTCGAGCAAAAATAACACGATATTGCTACAACCTCCAACCAAAGAACAAACTTGTCATGTCGTTCGAAGGTTTCTTTTTCTCATCCTGGCGGTCGGCTTCGTTACTAAATTCTAAGACAACTGGATAGCTTGATTATTAAATGCTCCGAATCGTCAGCAGCCTAATTCGGTCAAACGATGCCAATTTTAGATGTCATTAATTTCAGACTACTGACAAAGGAAACGTAGTTAAATGTGCTATTAACTAACGAGGATGAAGTACAATGGCTGCAATTTCATCGATTGTGCTGATTGTGTCAGTGTTTACTGGCGTCCTGAGTCATGTAAAAATTCATGAAAGAAGTGACCCACAAAATTCATTGATCTGCAGCTCGACTTCATTCGTGAGAAATTCAGCTCAAAAATGAGCACAAATGAGCGAAACAGGGAAATGCATTTTCTACAGCAAAACCTGTACGCTATATTTACTTGTCATGGTTTGCTATAGCGTCGTAGACGAAGGTAATATTGTTCTCGACTGCAAAATTTTACGCGCATGGCTTTAGACGGGTGTTAAACCTCCGCCGTAATATAGATACGAATGACAGGTGAGTTGAGGGTCACTATTTGAGTGGGGTATGAAGATTAAAAAAGACAAGCTGGTGTCTAGAGTCATCGGAATTTAATGGAGTATCAGTTTCCGCAACAGCGCGGAGCTAAAGTATATCACCGGCATCACTATGCTGACCGTTCTGCGACATTGTTTGGATATTTCACGTGAGATTTTATCTTTCTGGTGAAGTGAAGATCTACCCGAAAACTCAAGTTCACGATATAACTGATTCATTCTTATTTAGCGTCAGCTGTAGATCGAATTTCATCATTCTCTGGAGAGGAACAAACCCTCCACCTCCCGACGATTTGTTGGATGCTGAATCTTTGGGCAAAAGTAGCTGATCAGTGGTTCAGTTAGCTAGCTCTCCAGCCTACTTGTGAACGCGGTCTGATGTGGATTTCCTCAAGAAATTAAAATACCTCGATTGGTCGTCAGTGTGGTACATCCATATTTATTATCAATATTGTTTCCCTGCATTGAATTTATCAATTTTGCATCACATGAGTCAAGTTTCTTTTAAGGCTTTCACATCAGAATCCACAGATTGCTTTCTTTATAACCCGTCAAAGCAGCTTTTCATATGACATTGAGAATAACAAATTAACTGCGTCAATTTACCATCGAAAATGTGGAAACTCAGTGCTAGTCATTTAGCCCGAAAGTGAAACACTTATGCTTCCGCAGATGAATGCCTCAACTTTTCGAATGTGTTGCACATCAATGTTTGAATACTTTGTCTTTCTCTATCAGCTCGTGATCCAAATTCATTAGGAACGGATACGCATTCAGGTAAGAAAACGATCAAACTACTTCCCCTATCGCAGCAGTGTCTTCTCATAAGAATGAAGCGGTGATAATTGTTGATCATAAAATTTTGCATCCAGTTTCACGAAATCCTCCATGATTCAATAATTTAGACTCATTAACTGATTAGCTTATCGCTACTCGCTTGCGCACAGCTCTCCGATTGTACTGTTCCCTCTTGAGGATGGATGGATCTAGATGGATCGAATGGATCTTACTCCTGTTGGCTCGTTGTCTAACTGACGGACGTTGATGCTTCCTTAACCGACTGTGTGTCTAACTTAGAACTACAATCACTCAGCTGGCCAATGACCTTAGTCTCGAAAGATGTTTCATCCACGACCGTTCTAGTCGGAACGAACTCCAGGAAGGACCTCAAACGTTGTTTATGTTGGTCTTTGGCCAGTATATCCACCCAAAATAAAGGAATGCCTTACAGAAATAGAGAATGGACATCATAGAGACCCTGCGGTTTGTGGGCCTCAGCATCTCACTGAGCAAGGTATATGTGACCCTCACAGAGCCTCTCATACCAGGTTGGTCATTTGGTGGAAGTCCTCTGAGTTGAGGGTTGGATCCACTCCTTAAGAATTTGGACTTCTCTGAATGTAAGCACAATCCACGACCAATAAATGCGTCAACAAGTTCAAATGGACTTTAGAAATACAGGATTTAATCAACGACATTAAATGACTTTCCTTCTATATCCAGTTGTCATGGGGAAATACCAGATAATACTGATGAAGCATGCGAGCAGTCTGTGATCTTCTCGGAGCTCCGTTCCGCGTTTATGGAAGGTGAATTTTACCACAGAACTTATGGAGTATCTTTGCAATATTCTTTCTCAAAAGCGTGATATTTCCGAACAGTTATGGAGCTTGAAGAAGATCCTTGAGGATGTTCAGTTTTAAAGAATATAGCCAACTGAGACGGTTGCTTTCCCGTTCTATAGTTCAATAGCGACATCCACGTGGAACCATTCATCATAATTGAAGGAACCGATTGCCTCCCAGTGTCGTCTGCTGCAGTATCCATGGACATTGCTTTTACTCACAGGCCGTGAATGCATCAAAGATAACGCAACAGAAAGCAC